TCATGCTGAAGGATTGCAAATCTGTTCCTTAATGAATGGGTAGAAAATACAAGAGGCAGTGACAGAATTGTAGCAATCCTTTCTTAAAGCAAAGCAGAATTGTAAATGAAATTACTCAGATATTCACACACCCAAGACCCAGTAGGTTCCTCAGAAACCCAAACAGAGCTGCTCTACTCGCAGTGCCTGGAAGCCCAAATTATAAACACGACGATTTTGCACTGACCTCATTTTTATTTTCCAACCTATTTACTTTCAGGTGCCCTATGCTGTCACCCAGCCGCTTCTACAGGTGAAATTCAGCCTCCTCCAACTGTAAGATGTTTTAATTAACAAATTGCTAAATAGGGGGAAAAAAAAAAATGTCTGCTGAAATACAAAGAGAGCAAGGAGACACGAAATTTCTGCCTCTGGTTGTCTGAATGATGTCAAATACGTTGGAACAGCCAGCTCACAATAAAACTCACTGCTCAGGAAAACGTTTGCCATCGCCACAGATTTTCCACCTCGCATCCAGCAGCCTTCCAAGGGAAGCTCCACGAGCTTATGAAGAAAACTCTCAGATGTCAGAGATAATCAGTGATTCCGCAGGCAGTACGACTCCTTGTCCTGTCACTATGGATGCTTTTCCTTTCACTCAGAGTAAGGGGTTAACAGCCAAACCCAAGAGCTCTGGTAGCCAGGGAACCACAAGACAGATTTTCATTTCCTGCACCCAACTCTATGGGTGTTTGCAACGAAACTGGATTGAGGGGGAAAAAAAGTTAACAGCTCAAACACAGATGCAGCCCTGCAGAGCCTCTTACAGGGAACAGGCTGACAAGAGCAGAGCCTTCACTTAAAATTTAAGATGACGTTTGACTGCAGTGCCCAGATAACTGCTTTGTGATGCCATCGAGGTCACAACCCTGAGAACTCCAGACAGATTCAGAATGTGACTCATCACTTTAAGCATCACCTACGTGCCATAAATATTACAATGCCACTAGAGAACAATAACTACATTCAATGAAAATGCAGGATCACAGCTGCTGGAACACAAATGCTGCCGATGAATTAGGCATGCAAGGACTGAGAGTGGAAAGATCCATCAGTTCCACGCAGGAAGCACTGAGCTCTCAGAGCTGCACCTCTGTTCCATTGTCTGACAAGGAAGAACAGCTCACAGAAACAGGGTCTGCAGGAATCCACTTATTTCCATACCATGAATGAAGATGTTACTATTAATGTGGAAAAGAACATCATCTTTTAAATCGTATGACTTCAGACAGCAAAAGTAGCCGAGCTGTAATTTTTTTCCATACTGAAGCATACTGGAACAGTGCAAACAAAAGGACATTCCCCAAAGTACCCATCATGTGAGGAGTTGGCCAACACTGCTCCTTGCGCAAGGGCAGCAAGTTCAGCCCTTTGCAAACAGAAATACTCACCTTCTCCGGACTGAAAGGACAGTGACAGCTGTTAGCAGACACCCAGCCACACAAAGGTCAAGGAAAACCAATTCAATCACATCCCCCCCCACTTCATCTTTTTTTATTATTATTAACTTTATATTGGACATAGAGGGAAGGGGGAGAGGAACCCATCACCTTACAGCACCTGCATCTCTGAAACGCTCATAACAAGAAGGATGAACCTTCCCACGTTTAATGACATCACTGCCTGCACTTGCCGTGCTGTGACAGCACTCCAAGGAGCCACAGGTTCTCCTGGACCACTTCAGCACAAGTTTACACATACCTCCTCTACTACAAACTGTACCAGAACTTATCATCAAGACACTTAATTCCCTTCAACTCACAGCCACAGCTCTTCCCGCTCAAGACAAGGAGCGAAGCACTGAGGTTAGTTTTAACTTGCTATGTATTTCCTACCACTCACTTCATCCCACAGGAAAGAACCCTGCTGGGAAGTCCAGGAGAACACAGTAGCACTTTACTAGCTAAAGCACCCTCCAGAGTAGCTGTGTGCGACACTCTGGTATCCCTGTTCTTCCTTAGTACCTAAAAAGAGGGAGAAAGATCTGAGAATGCTTTCAGAGCCTGCAGACCCCAAAGTGCGGCTAACTGAAGCTACAAGTTGCACCTATGTACCCACCCATACATAATCTTTACTTGCCATGTTAACATAAACATTTAGAAAACACTGCAAATTACAAGAATCAAACACAAAACCAGTCTTCCAACCCCCAGCTGCCAGCCCTTACAGCTACTCTTGAACTGGAGCAGAAAACAAAAGGTTTCAGTCCTATGACCATACTTCGCCCTTCACCCACCACTCCTCCCCCTGGATTCCATATGTTTTCAGCGCAATGGGCAGAAAGCTGTGCAGGCTGTGGGCACACCGAGCAGCACAGCAGCTCCAGCCACTGCCACACACAGACAACTCAGGCTGTTATATGAGACCTTCAGGCTTTGCTCTGTGACACCCGACTGCTGGGATGCCACAGATGATCTCATCATCCTGAGCATTTATCCTCACACTGGATCCAAATGCTGCCCTGGTACCTCTAATAATTCTGCTGGTTATGGGTGAAGCTCGTAAATTAAACTCAGAACAGAAGTCTAGAGTCGAATGAAATAGGATTAGGGATTTTGCAATACAATTTGCAACCCGGAGAAACAAAATATCCTCACAACACAGCACAGGGCTACAGCACTCTCTTGGGAGTCACATTTTGCCAAATGGATTTCATTGCTTCTGAGGCTTCTTTCTGCAAGCCTCAGAAGGAAACTTCCCCCCATAGGAACAAACAGAAATCCATGCACGTTAACATTCTACTTTCTCTAAAGTGCAACTCTGATTTTGCTTCTCCTTTGTTACACTGCAGGAGTGACCGGTGAGCACACACTCAGCCTGGCAGACGGGCACCTCACCCTGCAACACAACCCTGGTGAAACAACAGACATTAAGTTTCTAAACGACAATTAGAAACACCTGTTAACACCCCAACTTCCACTCCATCCAACAAAGGCCACAGCCAATCCTACACCAGTCACACCCTACAACGGGCATTTTTAATTCATGACACCTGTTTGTACAGCCAACACATGACTACTTAAAACAAATACTAAGTTTTAAGGCTAATAGAAATCCAATTTTGTTTAAGAAACACTGGGACCAACCAAAGGTGGTGGCACGCATTAAATCCAAGCTGGTTGTGTGGTTCTTTTCCCCACTAAAGGGAGGGGGACTCAGAGGGATGCCAGCATTCTGTCCCAGATACCCACAGCACTGGAAAGCAATTCATCGACAAAGCTGTGCCCAACGTAGCACACAACGAGTCCTACCAGTGTGGTATCCAGCCTCACTGCACCTGGTAGCTGTGTTTTCTCCTCATTAACCTGCTACACTTCTCAAGCTATACTGAGGACACAAGAGATGTTGGTGCCTTAGATAGCAAAGACAAGATTTCACCAGTTAAACTTTAGGGAAAAAAAATCGTTACAGACACACAACTGCACACACCTGCAGAGATTACAATGAACCACGGATAAGCACTTCTTCCCTCGATCTTGTGCAGAAACATCTCAGCATTGCCTACACCGCTAAGAAGGCAAAAGCAGACGCTCAGCCCACCTCGAGAATTCCACATTTATTCTTCTGCATCAGAACGATTTACAGCGGGTCGTTCAGACTGCTTAACCGCCCCACAGAGCATGCAGGGTGCACAAAGCAATGCCAGCTGCAGACCTCCCCGTGCAGCAGAGCTGTTTGAAGAAACGAATCAAACCAGCACCGCTACGGCACTCCATCATTCTGTAGCACCGCGGACAAACGCAGGATAACCCTCAGCAAGCATCCCGTGCTCAGGTCGCCGTGTATTTCTAACTATAACACCACTACGACGTCACAGCCAAGCGGGACGCTCGTTCAACTGTCTACCCGAGCGGGCAGGGCTGCGATTAGCACAGATAACACGGCCGTGCCTACAGACAGCCCAAAACCGGGTCCCGCAGCGCCATGGCGGTTCGCCCCGCTGCCAAACATGGCTGCACCGCGTCCTCTTTGTGACCGAGCCCGTGTTTCCCTTCTGCCTCTCCTAACTCCGCACCCAGCCCGGCACCCAGCCCGGCATCACCGCCCGCTCCGCTCCGCTCCCCGCGGTCCGCCCCGCACCGCCGCTCCCTCCTGAAATCGGACCCACCTCCGAACCGCGCACACGCCGAAAAAATAAAGCAGCAGCCCGACCCTCCTTCGTTCCGCGGGGCGGCTCCGCGCCCGGGGCTCGTTCGTTTTATCGGTAATTTCCGCGCGGTCCCGGCACGCTCCCCCCCCCCCCCCGGCTCACCCACAGCTCCGTGCCCCAGCTCATGGTTTCGCCGGCGCCGAGCGGAGGGCGGGCGGGGGTCGCTGCCCCTCGGTGAAGCTTCCTTCCCTTTCTCTCCCCGCACGCGAAGAACCGGCTCGGATCCCGGCGCTGAGGCGAGGGCGAAGAGCGGGACGCGCGAAGAGCGGGACGGGCGCTGCTCACCGCCGCTCCCGCCTCATCGCGCCGCAAAATGGCCTGAGCGGCGCCGCGCGGAGAGGCGGCGGCGGAGCGGGGCGGGAGGGGGGAGCGCTTGACAGCTCTGGCGCACTGCGCACGCGCGCCCCGCGGCCGTTAAAAGGGGGCGATGAGCGCACTGCGCATGCGCGGCCGGCGGCTGCGCGCCCCCCACGTCCTCTGGGAGCGGCGGGAGCGCGCCGCCCCCCGCTGGGCACCGCGAGGCGATGGGCGCTCCTCGCCCCGGAGCGGCGTGCCCGCCCTGCTCCCTTTATTCCCGCTTCCTCACAGTACGAAGCGCGGGTTTTGTTATTTGATTTCCAAGCAAACGTTCCTGTTTTGGAGATTTGTACGGGGGCAGCCGCCCCGATGAATAAGGAAGCCCACACCCTACAGGGAGGGGCTGCCGCCGTCACCCCGCGCCCCAAACACGCGCACCCCAACCCAGCCGCGTTCAGAAACATCGATCCTGCCATCCGTCAGCAGCACGCGGGCAGGAAAATAATCGAGTTACCTGCCTGCAGCCGACGTGGGGCACGGCAGCAGTCACGCAGGCCTTGCAGAAATCAGCTTGTTTCCTCGCTGGAGAAATAAGATTTATTTTGTGCTCGTCTTCCTTTGCAACAGCATTTATTTGAGCTGCGTCACCTAATCTGATTTTATACTTCTGCTTTTCAGCTACAAGAAAGGCGAAAAGCCCGTCAGATTCCTGTCTTTGCTGCATCTGTAAACCCTAACCCCTCCACATATGTGCAGAAAGGGGAAAGCACATTTATTCACCTGAGGAGCACAGAATCTGCTCACAGAGGGCTGGGAGCTTTCTGATAACTGCTCAGCTGCTGCATGCATTACCTCCCCTGGACTCATGCACTTACACTGGACAGCATGTGGATATCAATCTGCATGAGGAGAAAAAAAACAATAGAAGGATAACTGAAGTGATTCCAACATTTAGAACAACAGTGAAGATGAGCATGATGCTAATAATGCACTGCATTTCATTTTATCCACATTGGTCTGAATATGGGAGCAGAGTGCTACTACCCTTGAAGCGAGGCACAGAGCAGGCACTGCTTTTGCTCACCATTAAACGTTAATATCTTTAAAGACTGCATCACAACTAAGAGACGCTGATCAACTCATTGCACAGAATACTTCCTGCTGTTGCCAACGTATTTGAATATCTGAGCCTGCCTGAAGCACAACTGCGGCGTCCCAAGGGCTTCTACCTCCACAGGCTCTCAGGAGAGGGACACCAGGAGCCTCTTAGCCTTATGTCCACCCAAAATGCATTACAAAACCAGTGAACATAATTGCATCACAGCTGTTTGAGACCTTAATCCATAAATACTTGAACAAAAAGAACGCACAGAGTCCAAGCGCAAAGCAGCACTGGTATCATCTGAGGTGAATTTGCAGTGGAATTTCCTTTTGCACAAAGACCTGGGAGGGGAACAAGGCAAACCTGTTACACCAGCACGGGCAGGGAAACCTGTCCCCAGAGAAAGACAAGAAACACATAACTGGTTACTGAACGGTACAGGCCAGAAATGCAAGTTCTGTATTAGGATGGCACATCAGAACCAACAACACCAAAACCTGGGAATAAATTAAGATTCGTGTGGATGGAGCTCAAGGGAAAAGCCAAGTAAATTGCATTCCAGATATTTCTGGTAGATTTTTTTTCCCCTCCCGTTTTTGTTATTTAGTGTGAAGCTCTCCAAGACACAGACTGCCACTTACAGCACTGCTCTGTTTGTGCAGTGCTCAAAACAGCAGAGCCTGCAGCTTGATTCGTCCTTAATTACTGATGTAATTAACAACGATAGGAGCATTAAGAGCCCTTTATGCTACAGCGTGATGTGAGAAGGCTTAGCAGGTTTCAGCCTCAAAAGAACAGTTCAAAATAACACTTAGAAAACCGATTATTTACTCCCCATTACCTAATTTACACAATGCAAAGCAGAGCAATACAGAAACCAGTAGGAGTTTTCCCCTGGCTGCACTAGGAACAAAACCATTCAGATCTGTTATCTAGATACAGGGATATTCCTGTAAATTCTTTGTTTATATCTGTTACTGCGATTCGGAGCATTGCTCACACTACATCCCAAGCCCGAGCAATTCCTTTAAACAAAAACCTAATAAGAAAAACAACTTCAAAACAGCTACCTTCCAAATCATTTAGCAACCAAGAAAGCTAAAACAAACCCCTCAACTACAGTTCAATCTAAGTCCCCCCATCTTCGTGTTTCCTCATGCAAATCAAGGAAAATCACAGCTTGCAAAGTAAGTATCAGTATTTCTAACTTCCGGAACATAAAAGAAAGAGGACCCACCTTTCCCCCCCACGGTTATCATCCCTGCAGCTGCTTCCCTCTTATTTTTACAATTCTACCCAGATCATCCACATCCAAAACATGGAAGGTAGGTGTTGCTTACAACCTCTATACACTGGAACTGAAACAGCACCAAGAAAGGAAGAGGACACGCCTTTCCCTCAGGCCATCACCACTACAGCTGTTTCCTTTCTGCAGTCACAACGTGCAGACACGCAGCAGGGGACCTCGGTTCTCTTTAGTGCCCTATCAGGGCCAACAGGGGTCTGATTAACACCTGATGAAGAGCTGATAAACCTGAATGGCCCTGACCATCCTCACCTGGGACCTCCACCCCCCCCCCCCCCCCCCCCACCCTGCCCCCACCCTCTGCCCACAGACACAGGAGCCTCATTTAAACGTCAGTTTGAGGCATTATTTTGTACTTCAGCTATGAATTGACTTCTAATTTCAGTATCTAAACTGTAAAATGATTTCTTGGATCGTTTCTGCTTTTTTGTTATGAGCTTGCCTGGCTTGCAGTTTCTATCCCCAGGTTTACTTTGCTTAGTAGCTGTAGAACCACAACCTGAAAGGTGAGGTCACTGCCCTTCTGACTGTGCTTTTGTGCTCTGTGTTTTTTTGTTTGTTTTTTTTTTTTTTTTTTGTTTTTTTTTGTTTTTTAAGAGAAAAAACAGGTTTTGCTATTCTGCAACATACCTATAGTTACATTCACATATAGTTACATTCACAGAGCACATCGATAACAAATACTTAGCCCGCTTTTACTTTGTACTAAAGGTGTACTTACGTGCTACCCATATGCCAGGAGTTTCTTGATGCTGCTGATGGTTGCCATCCAATCTCAACAGTTGCTCATCAGATACTTCCAAAAAACTCTGAAGAATCCTAATTACGTTCAGGTACACGTGGGGAAAAACAATGAAAAGGAATCTAAAGAAACTAAGCATGTGTGAACACAGTTAAGAATAACTGCTAGAATGGTCCATTTACAGCCAGGTAATTTATCTTGTCTGGTGGCTACAGTAAAACATCAATGTAAAGACATTTGTTCCTACAGCGTATTTATTACAGAGAAGAGACGATTCGTGTATTCTTAGGAATGTAAATTTAAGTCTAGAATCTTTTGATGTGTACATCCTTTGAAAAATGTAACGTGTTTACTGTGTTTACTTTCTGTGTTATACAAGTTCTAACTTCCACAGATCACTTAGTCTGGGTCAGTTGTGATTTAGTCACTGCAATATCCTGGGAGCTGGCAGAGTTACGAGGAGAAATATTCAGACAATTTAAGTTTGTGACATAAAATTCCCTGATTGTTATTAGGAAATACCTTCTGATTAGGAGAGGTTGATGGGATGAACAGTGCCTGGAATTATACAGGACAGTTTCATGCCGTTTGGCTACTGAAGTAGTCACTGAGAACAGAGTGAGGCACAAAGCCTGTGCTGCAGCTGTGGCTGCAAACAACCATTTTTCATGAGTCTTTAGGCTTCCTAGGGAGGTGTGAGCACAGGAATGATAGCAATTACAACATTAAAAATATGAATTTGGAGAAAAAGAGGTTGACCAGAACCATGCTTTGGTTCTCCGATGTTGTCCCATAGCTTTCCCATAGCTGGCACCACGAAGCCTGATGCTGAGGGGACATCTAGCGGCTCGCTCGGTTACTACCTAGAAAAAGAACAATCCAAGTTTGTTTGTCAGACTTCCAGGTATTTTCTGGTATCTTTGGCGGTGTTGAGAGATCTGTGTTTATTCTATTACCTAAGAGAATGAGAGAAAGAAGGGAAGATTAAATAGGAGGTAACGTGTAGAGTGACATCTGAATCACTGCTGAATAAAGATGGGACTTTCCATGTAAGTGTTATAACAAGGGTCAGGATTTTCTCTCTGCCCATGCGCCCTGATGCACACTTCACGGCTCAGCTGTTCCACTGCACGCCTGGCTCAGGAAAGCTGCACAGCTGCCACTGCGTGCTCTGAAAGGAAAAACGTCGGAGTGATGAGAGCTGACAGAACACAGAAGCTGCGTTTTATCACATTGCTAAGCGGATCACATCTTTCAGAAATGGTTTCAGCAGTGGGTAAGTCTGTCTGAAGGCTGCCTTCATTGTCCCTTGGCAGGCTGCCTGGCTGCTCATGTAACTGAGCAACGCAGGCCTGACTGAAGCCAAGTCTGGGCTGCATGTAGCTTCAAGTAGGACCACGGAGATCAAATAGCTCAGTAGTTCCTAAGCTACCCCACTAAGGAAGCAGAAAGCTTTCTGTTGCCTATAGAGAGATGTTTAAAACGAACCACGGAGCCCAGCGCTCAGCAGAAACGCTCAGCGGGTCGGACTGCTCGCCATCAGCGCCGCTCCCAGGGACGGGCTGCAGGCACGACGCCCGAGCCCAGCTCAGCGCAGGGCGGGCCGGGGGACGTCACGTGGTCAGCAGGTACGGCTGGGACACGTGCCGGCATCTCGGGCACGGCGCGGGAAGGCCGCGAGGCGGGGCCGCCTGCAGGGTGTGTCCCAAGCAGCCCTGCCCACTGCTGATCACGTGACCTTCCCAGCGCACCCCGCTCCCGGAAGTGCCGCGGGAACAGGATGCTGATGTTGGAGTAAAGATGGCGGCCTGCGGCCTTCCCGCCGCTCTTACTGTGGTGGTGCTGGGTTTGGCGTTGCTCTGTGCGGGTCCGGCCGGAGCCCGCGTCCATCACCTCACCCTCAAAGTAAGGTCTGCGCCGTAGCATCCTTTGGGCTCGGTTCCGAGTGGGGTGAGGGGAGCAGTGGGTCTGATCCCGTTCTCCTCAGGCCGGGCTCTTCTCGCCCTGGCCCTGTCCCGCTGCCTGGCCCGGCTCTTCCGCTGTGTTTTGGCCTGCTGGGGCCCCGGTTGGCTTTGCTTTTGTTCCTCGTCCGTGCTGTGGGGAAGTGCGGGCCGTGGGTCGGGCTGTGTGTGCGGGCCCAGTGTGCGCTGGGAACTCCTTCGGGCTCGCTGTTAGCCCGCGTTCTGATTGCTCTTCCCATCCCGTCTTCTGTCGTTCTACTCTGAAGGCTGAGGTGCTGCTTTATTCCTCTTACCGACGTGCGTTCTTCGTATTTATCAAGTGAGTGATTCAGGCAGAAGAAGGAATCGGTGCTGACCATTCTCTGCTTCAGCTTAGTAGACTTAAGGTTGTGCTTTTTGAAAGGTCCCGTTGTGGTTTTGTACCCATGTTTGAAGACAGTTCGTTACTAGCAGGCTGTTGCGGGAGCTGTGGCCCCAGCAGTGCTGCTGGGCTTATGAGAAGGCTGTCCTGGGGTTTTGCTGCAGGAGAACAGCAGTGCGGGGAGCATACCAGAATATTACAGCAACATCCCCTATGCCCTTAATTGAGAGGTCCATCATTCCTGACTCATTTGTAGGGAGTTCTCCT